TAATGTTTCCAAAAAGTTACAGCTTTCTGGTGTTCTTTAAAAAAAATAATTTAAGGCTGTTTTTCTGCTCTTTATATTTCTTTCCACAGCTGCATGGGATAGCGTACACAAAGTCTTTTTTAAAGTCATGTTCTCCTCTATGGACTTCTCATGAAATAATTGAGCCGACCAAGCATTTTTTTTTTACAATATGGGAACAAAGTAATAAGGAGTGCCAAAAAAAGGATAACAACAAAAATATTTTATGAATTCTGGTAAAAATTAAAATGATAACAACAAAAATGCAATATATGAAATGATAAAAATTGTTTTAAAAAAAATTTAAATTTATAATTGAATAATTCATTTGTGATGGTTGCGGACACATGGCACAAAATAAAATTTGATTTATTTTATAATTTTAAATACCGATCATATCAGTACCAGTTTAATTTCCTCATTTTTACTGGAATGGCACATTGGAACAGTTTTTAAAAATAATACTCAGTGGGTTAATCCAAATGTTGTAATAAATACACAAAGAGTGTAGTTAGTTCAATATTTACATAATACCGAAAATAAAGAAGATACTGAAGGGGAAATTTAATTTATATAATATGAGGACAACTATTTAAATAAATAGTGTTTGATTCATCCCAGAAATATAGATAGAAATGTTGAAAATTATTAAATATGGCGACAAAATAATTTCATATAATCTAAAAAAATACTTCATTTTCATTTTTAACAGATAAAAAGGGTTCACGTTCGAAACAAAATTTCCAAATAAATAACGTATATAACCTCATCTCAGAAATGTTAAACAGATACTGAAGGGGCCGAAAAGATATAATAAATATGTGTCAACAAAGATATTTAGACAATGATTCTCTGAAATGATGTTTATAATGTACATAATACCTTAACAATCTCTTAAATAAAGATAATGTAAATATACTAAAACCTTCCATAAAAATAGTTTACTGAATAAATAAATATGACAAAGATGAAGACAATAGTCCGAATAAATAAAGTGTACATAATACCTTATCTCATAAATATCGACAGATACTGAAAGGCCGAAATTGTTGTTTATATAAATATGGTAATCGAATAAGTAAAGATGAATACAATAGTCGACAGATAATGAATGTAAATAGTATAAATATAATAGATGAGGACAATTTCAGAAATATAGACAGATACTGAAGAAGGGCCGAAACGTTGTAATAAATATGCCGACAAAGATGAGGACAATAGTCCGAATAATGTAAATAGTGAACATAATAAAAACAGAAATATAGACAGACATTGTTTAACTCTGTTGAAATATCAGCTCAAACATGAATTTTATTTTTTATTACATACACTGCTGGTGCTGCCCATTTTGAATAGTTATTTTTTCAATTACATATATTTTTTCATTTCTTTCTTGACTTGATCCAATACTGCGAACGTTATACTACATTTCGGTTTAAACACTGGCATCGACCTTTTTTCTTTTCTTTTTTTCCTTGAAATTTCGCTTTGACTTTCGAACACCAACTCAACTCACCCGACAGAACATCCACCAAAACATTTTTTCAATTCTTTCTTTAAATTTTCACACTGTTTCTTTTAAACTGTTCACTTGTCCACGTGCATTTTTGCAATATTTATAGGTAAATCCCACAAGTCAAATAATTTCTTCCAGTCAGTACCGAATAAGTTTGTAGCATTTTTTAACAAATATGCCTTAACTTTTACACTCTTGTTACGAAATGAAACGTTACAAATCATTTCACCGATAAAAATAAATTCTTACCTGATAGGCCACATGCAATTTTCGAAGTATTTTTAATGTGAGTTTTCCGTTTGCTTTCCATATGACGCCGTTGATTATTATGATGTCACTAGCAATGTCTAGTTGCATTTTTGCATCTACATTATTAATTTTTACACAAACAAATTTTCTTTGTTTTTCTGTAATTATATATATACGACATTTTCTGGGAGAACCTTTCGCTGATATAGTTTTACAGTGTGACTTTTTATACCTTCTTTTCCACACTTGTACCTAGAATTCTTAAAGGGAGAGTCGCCTTCCAGATTTAACCTTCGAAATCAAAAACATGGATTAATTTTCTTTTCCCACATTTTTCTTTAGATTGTATATATGCGAATTCTTTTACTTCAATTTCTTTGGTATCGCGTCTCAGATTTGGAATTCTCTGACATTCGTCTGATATTTCTTGTAGTGTTAGGTTTCTATTCTGTTCAAGTTTCGTTAGAATTCTAGCACGTATTTCTGCGTCTTTTTTTTCGCCGTTAACTCTAAAACGAAAATTAACCCTTTATACATATCCGGAGTCAATTCGTTTAATTAGAAGCTTTCACACTCCTTGTTAACGATTCCAGCATATGCGACAAATTCTTTGTCTTCTTTTTTTTCTTCAGGTTCATACATTTCCGGCGGGTATTGAAAAACGAACTTTTCTCGCTAAAAATTTTATTGAGAATATTTACTGTTCCATCAAAGCAAATTTCTCCTGTTTTTAGGTAGTATAAATTTCCAGTATTTTTCAGCTTCTACCGCTGATAACTTTCTCAATAAATGTCTTGTTTTTCTTATCTTTTCCCAGTCGCTGCATTTTTCACTGCAAATTTGCTAGCATCCTCTAACATAAGCAGAAAAGGTAATCCCATCATAATTCAGCTATGGCATTTGTCACCGCCCAGAAGTTGTTGTGGTAGGATCCACCTAATTTGCATAGTGGAGTACCGACCATATAAATATGGTTGGTACCGGGAAGAGAGTGAGGAATCAAGAGATTCAACCAGAGACTCTGCCCGACTGCGACTCAGTCAACACATTCTCCAGGAACGGTCTTACCAGGAATATACAAAAGACTATATGTAAATATTGTGTACACTTTCTTGTTTCAATACATTTTGTTCTAAGTACATTTTGTGTTGCATTATTATTCCATGCATTAGTCAAGTTTCAACAATGGCGACGGTAGAAAGAACTATACGAAAAAAAAAAATTGATAATTGATAGCCTTCAACAATTGGGATAAGTCTTTGAAGAACCCAGGCTGAAGGAAAAAATTATTAATTAAAAAGTCCAACATCTAATGGAACGGCGAAGGATTCTGAATTTCTGGATATTTAGAACTCGTTAAAGGACGACTAAGCATAAAGGAACGTTCACTCAGAAAAATTTGAAAGGTGTCGTAAACGAATAACGGTGATTTTAAAAAAAAAAAAAAAAAAAAAAAACAGGGCCGACTACAAAAACATAACCGAATTAAAAGGCGCAAAAAATACATTATGTCGACTTTGAAAGGTAACGAACTTTTAAAAAAAAAAACATTTTTTTTTGGTTGCTCAACATTATTTTATAAAGCAAGACATATAATAAAAAAAAAGTCGTAAGTTGTTTGCGATTTTTCTGGTTAGATTATATTATATCCGTGGATACACAAATTAAAAGTATATTCTTTGTTGCATGAACTCTATCAGCAAAAAGATGGATGAATTATCCAAAGTCGTATCTGAATTATTCAAATCCCAGCAGTTGAGTCAGCAACGTCAAAAGTGAACAGTTTGCCTGATTAATAAAGGGAACAACAGATAGCAAGCAAAATATCAAGAAAAAACAAAAAAGACAGCAAAAATATCAAGAAAATGCAAGAGGAAAGACAGCAAAAATATCAAGAAAAGCAAGAGGAAAGACTGGGAAACCAGGAAGATATGCAGATCAAGGTTTTAGAAATTCAAAAGTTAACACTGGAGAAATTAAACAACAATCAGGCAAATGAAGGAAACTCTTCATATTCTAATAACATCATATTTAATTCGCTGGAAACTTTCAACTATGGGCCAGACGAAGAAAAAACGTTTGAAGCGTACTTTAAACGATATGAAGATATTTTCCACACAGACTGTGAAAACTGGTCGAATTCAAGAGTAGTGAAAGAACTTTGTGAATTAACTGTTATCTTCCTTATTATTTAAAATAAAATTTGGTGTTGTTTCTGGAGTTCCAAGAACTGCTTTTATTACTGCTCTTGTTATATTTTTATCACTTCCATATTGAAAAAAATACTTTTTTCCGTGTTTCTCTTTTTTTCTTTTTCTTTTTTACGCACACCAAAGAAAAAAAAACAATGTTATTCTAATTTCTCGTCATCATTGTTAGCATGTGCACTGAAGCAAAATATACTTTTACCTACTCCGTATGAGTTCCAATCCCTCGTTGTCAATAGAGTTACGAAGCTGTTTGAAATGATCACTAGTGATGGCGACGTTAAGCCTCCATTCATCTTCTCAGAGGATGTATTGCTGCCCTGGGTCAAGAGGGTGGCTGCTGGAAAAACACTATGGACATTGCACAATGTCACACAAACAGGAGAATCTGGTTATGGCTGTCAGACAATTACATATGGTCATCCAACGGATTGCAAACCTATTGATTATTATGTGTGGCGCAGTTGAGCGAGAGTTCAACAAAGCTACTTGTAACACCAAAAATGAACTGAAGATAAGAATTATGACAATCTTCACCAATTTAATCAAGGAATCCGTCCAGAAGATTCCAAAGACTTCTGGAGGCCGTGGTTGAAGGCAGTGGCGATTTCTTTTTTTAATAATTCACTCTTTACTATTTCAAGGTAATTTTATCTAATTTTGGTAAATATATCTGTTAAAATGATAAGAGTGAGTTATTTTCATTTTTGCGTAATTTATACAACAATTTATCCATCGCACCACACACACACACATATGCGTAGGTGAGCACGTGTTTGTGTGTGTATGTGCACACAGATTCATTTTTAGCGATATGTTTGTTTGTTTTTTTTTTTTTCAGTATAAGTTCGGAGTTGTCACATTTACATGAATTGCATGTCAAGCCTAAAATGTGCTTCGCATTTCGTGAATCGCTTTTATTGCCACATTGGGGAAGATAAGGCGTTTTGATTGCAAGTAATCCAATCGAAAACGTCCCCAAAATGTAGAAACGAAGATTTATTTCCGTTATGTGGAAACACATATTTATTTACCTAGCTCTCTATCTATCTATCTATCTATCTATCTATCTATCTATCTCAGGCCGATACATATCTATCTATCTATCTATCTATCTATCTATCTATCTATGTCTAAACTTAACTCGCAAGGACTGGGACTCGACTATGTCTATATATCTTTCTATCTGTTTGTCTGTCTATCAATCTCAACTTATTCGTATCAATCTGTCTATCTACTTCAGTCTGTTTATATATCTATCAATTTTAGTCTGTTCATCGATCTCAACCTTTTCATATCTATCGCAATATATTAATATCTATCTATCTATCTATCTATCTATATATATATATATATATATGTATGTATATACTTTTAGTAACTGTATATCTCAGCCTATTCGTATCTTTCTATGTATCTGTCTATCTCAGTCTATTCGTATCTCTCTCTCTATATCTACTTTAGTCTGTTCATCTATCTATTTCAGCCTGTTCATTTGTCTATCTATCTATCTATCTATCTATCTATCTATCTATCTATCTATCTCAGTCTGTTCGTATCTATCTATCTATCTATCTATCTATCTATCTATCTATCTCTATCTTTCCTATTCGTATCTCTCTGTTTCTATTTACTTCAAACTGTTCATTTCAGATCTCAGTCTGTTCGTATCTATATATCAATCTCATTTCCAACCTATCTCTTAATATCTATCTACTTCGGTCTTTGTTCATCTATCTATCTATTTCATTGGGATTCATCTATCCTCTTCTATCTATCTATCTATCTATCTATGTATTTGACAGAAATGCTAACGTTCACACGCATCAAATTAAACTTTTTTTAAATAAAATTCACTCATCCCTACATCCATTTATTACATACATGCATATATATATATATATATATATATATATATATATATATATATATATATATATATATGAGATAGATAGATAGATAGATAGATTGAAGATATATATATATATCCATAGATAGATAAATTAAAAGAAAAATAAGAAGTATTTGTGTGAGAGATGTATAAATTTCGGAAAAATAAAAATGTGAGTTTCTGGTCGACATAAAATCAAATTACTTTCACATTCCATATTTAAACACGCTGAATTCCGTTGAAGAGAATATTTTATTTTTTTATTCTTACTTTTTCTCTCTCATTAAATTCTGTTTATATGATTTATAGAAAGATGTTAATATGAAAATGAATTTTCCTGTATTTAATTTTGCAGAACTTTAAAATTAAATTTAATTAAATCAATTTAAGCATTAACGACCCGAGGTGTGTTAGTTATGTAGGGTAGACGCGATAAAATGCTGTTGATATATGTGCAATATAGGTTTATGCATTTTTATGTTACATATATATTTATGACAAACTTTTTATCGATTTTGTCTTATTTAGTATTTTCATATCAAATAATATCTCGACTCTTTATATTTTGTTTCAGCATATAAGAGTCTAAATTTTTTGAGTTTTGGATTTTTTAAAAGTTTTTTTATAATATTTTCACTAACATTTAGTTTATTTAAAAAAATAAGTTCGATTTTCAAAACGTTAAAACTTCATATAATTTTATGACGCAGAATAAAATCTAGTTATATTGTCGCTCATATTTATTATTCGATGTATGACTGTCGTTTTTATCGACTAATTTATGCCGATTAAAAAACGACTATATTTAGTCATTTATATAAAATGACGAATTTTCATTAACCTTGGATTTCCAAAGTTCGTGGGCTCAACCAAAAAATATGCATATTGGACCCGTATAAACGGGTTCAGGGATATTTTATTTATTAATTTCAAAATAAATTTTTTGTTTGCCTCGTTCATCGATTGTTTTGACCATTTTTACAGAGAAAAAACTTTCAATTTATAAATAGGTTTTTTCAGAAATTTACTCATACCTTATGCTTTTTGTTTTAGTACTGAAATAAACGTTATGTCCTTCATATTTAACCTTTTTATTATAGGTGGGAAAATCTATTAACTATAGAATATATATTATGTTTTTTTTTTATAATTTTAAAAATAAGGAATTATATTTTTAAACACAAAACTAAAATATTTAAAAATAAAAATTCAAAATTTAATTGTTTAAATTCAGGAGAAAATTTATAGTGCATTGAATACTGTTGCCATATTTAGTCTGGTAAATTTATCTATTTTTTATAGGTTAACAAAAATTTAGGCAGATATGCAATGATTGAAATATGGTTTGGCATGATCTGGCATCTTTGTCTATGCAGATGTTACATATAGTTTTTATTGAATAAAAATTGATAAATAAATATAAAAAAATTGATAAACATTTAATATGAATGTTCCCCAATATTAACGTCTATCAAGTAAATGTATATAGATATTTATCTTTTCCTAGATTGACGGACGGATAATTATAAAATTGTTTCGATTTAATATGATATTTTAAAAATATATAAATGGGTTCTCTCTCTTATACCAATTTTTATTCTAGATTATAATGGCTTTTAACTTTTAGAGGATAAACATAATTTTTATAAAAAACAGAAAAGCCAGGATCCAATGTCATCAGTCTTTCTTCAATTATTTTCGATATATGTTGGGTTTTAGTTATTCAAATACTTCATAAGCAATAATTTTAAATAATTTCGTAGTCACGGAAATAAAATTTGTTTTTTAAAAATAAAAAACAATAAATTAAGAGGAAAATTATATTTAAATTTTATATTCCTCATATTTTTTATTTTTATATTTTTTATGTATTGGTGTTTTTTTTCTTATGTTAAATTTTTTATATATTTATTTTATAAAGGATAAAATGTTATTTTAAATTTGTTTTATTTATCAAAAATTTGGAAATTTTTTACTGTTTTTTAAAGTTTTTTGAGAGAATTTTGCAGTTTAATAATTTTTTTATACACACATCAATAATTTTTAAAAAGGGGGATATATTGTAAATGCTATTTTTTTAAAATATTTGTTTTTAAAAAATAAATGTCATTTTTCTTTTTTATAAATTTTTATTCTAAAAAAGGACCAAACCATTATGTTTGATAAATTCTTTTGCAGATTTTCGGAATTCCATGCATGAAAAATAAATTTTAGCACAGACTGATTTTTTTTATTTTAATGGCAAAATTTAAACGTATAAAAAAATGATGAATAAAAAATCCGATTTTCATCAAAATGAATATAAAAAAATAAAGATAATATAAAAAGCCATTGAATAATTGTTAAAATATTAGTAATCGTTAAGATTTTCATCTCAGAAAATAGACATAAAATTATGAATTTTGATATTCAGGTTCAATTTTCAGATCAATATGCGTACAACCATTTCTAATATGTTGAATTTTGATGCGCCATCTTGAATCAAATGGCTTGTTTAAATTAAAATGCTTTTTAATCAAAAAAAAGTATAAATCGAACGTTAAAAAAACATCAAAAATACATGTTACGACGTCAAAAAAAGAATTAAAGCCTTTTTAATAAAATGAAATATAAATGCAAGAGAAAGTACGAGAAAAACAAGTCCCCTCGTTTTCTTCGCCTAATTAGCCAGTTCGTGACCAACATCAATCGAAAATATATTTTCCATTTACCTGCTGAAAAATAATCCTATATTTAACCACAAATATTTCAAAAAAAAATTTAGAACAAAAAAAAAAATACTGTTACCTGGAACACATTTTAAATTGGACTGGTTCAAAAAACTTGCAAATTCTGCCAATTTTTTCATCAATACATAAATGTTTAATGATTATCGATCAAGATGAAATTACTGTATTGGAAAAAGTAAAGCGCTAAATAGGGTAACATCTTAAATTTTTAATAATTTCCAGACTTGAAAAAAGTATATAATTTATTTAGTTTGGTTTTTTTTGTTTTCATACACATCAATCAATGGGCCTGATATATATATTTTTTGAATATTTTTTTTCCTTTTCAATATATATTTCTTGGTTAATTATTTTTTATATTCAAAAAATTTATCTGGTAATATTATTTTTATTAAAAAATATTATATTATAAAATATATATTTAAAAATTTACATATATATATCGTCTTGCCTAGGACGCGGATTTTTTTTCGTTATACCCATAAATTGCGGATGTAATTAATCGTCATACTATTTTTCTTATGTAATTTATAGTCATATATATAATTATTTTTTATCGTCATTTAATCAACGCGGACGAAAAATCATTAAAAAAAAACGGATGTATTTTTTCAACATTATTTAAAAAAAATATTAAAAAAATAAATTTCAGAGTTCATAAATGAAACGTTAAAGTCTTATTGAAATAACTTTAGAAGGAACAGGATGGTGTTATAATCTAAGGAGAAAAAAGAGAAAAAAACTTCTATTCTTCCCAAAAAGAACCGGATCATTTAAATAATGGATTAGACTTTCCCTTTTATAAATTTTTTTTTTTTTCTTCTATCGTCGAAAGAATATAAAATAAAATAATTCTTAAAAAATTTTGAACAAACGCATCAAAAGTTAATCAAAACCTCACGGAAAAATGTTTATTTATATGATAAATATCCTCAGTTTATCAAATTCAATAAAATTGGATTTTATTTAATTTTATATTTAAAAAGTCTTTAATTTTTTTTCGAAAATTTGAAGTAAATGTTGTCTATATTTCTAAGATGATTCATTGTAAAATTTTACATCATTCTTCACTTTGTCCTTTTATTGGATAAATTTGTTGGTTAGATTCAAAGACTGGTTCAAAAACTTTAATCAATATATTAAAATGGATAACTTCAGTTTTTAACAGGAGATAACTTATAACTTAAATAATCCATTAAATATGGCACTGAACTATACAGTCTACCCCAATAAGCGAAATAAAACGCAATCAATTCCATTACCTGAAGTTATTATTCTGATCAACTGCGTTTAACGGGCGAAACTTAAAATAAATTTTTGAATTTTTAATAAACTTTTCAATGTAAATCATGAAATATAAATAATTTTAAAAATATTTTTTTGTTTATTCTATTCAGAAATTGAATTAAGTCTTAAAATACCATTTCTGTATAATAAAAGAACATAAAAATTGTGTAATTAAGTTGCAATAAAAGATTTATGATGTCATTTTTTGATTTAAAATATAATATTTAAATTAAACATAATGCCATAAAAGTGTTAATTTCAAGTTTTGTTTTATTATTATTGGGTTTTTTATTAAAATATCAAACATTCAATAAAGGGTGTTTCATTAAGACGGATCAAAGTCAGCAGTAAATAAATCAGTGTTATTGGTGAAAATTTTTTATTTCTCTATTGGATCATGTTATTTAAGTCATGGCAATTATGTGTGAAAAAATATATCGCCCAAATGTCCGCCAAGGCTTCAAATTCACACCTCCACTCGATGGTCAAAATTTTTGATGACGTCTCTGCATAGTTGCTTCTCGATCTCACCAATATGCCTTATTATATCATCCTTCAGCTGTTGAATTCTTCCTGGCTTGTTGGCATAGACCTTACTTTTGAGATGACCCCAAAGGAAGAAATCTAAAAAAAAAAAGTCGCACGATCGTGGTGGCCAATTGACTTCACTGTTTCGAGAGATAACGCGAGCTGCGAAATTTTCCTTAAAGTTCTGTTTGAACGTCCATTTTCGTAATAGGCTTCGATAACTTTAACACGTTGTTTAATTGTTAATCTTTCCATGGTTGAAATTGCCAAAGACTTAATTTGTTAAATCTGAAAGGAGAAGAAAAAGATCATTAGACGCTTAAACTTAATTTACATTTAAAAATCGGTCCAAGTTATTGGAACACCCTTTATATCATATCAAATAAACAAAAAAATTCTATATATCGTTAT